AACTTTTTATGGTATAAACTGAAATTGTAAATATGCATATTACAAATATTATTCAGGTGTGAGTAGGCGCATTGTTGGTAAGGGTTTTAAGCGATCGATTCAATTGAATTGCTTGAGCTGCTTTATGTGATATAGAGTTTCACTGATACAAAGGTGGAAGTTCAGTTGGACAGTTTGGAAATTGTGGATAAATTCATCGAATATTAAGCCGCCAACGAGCAGTGATGCAACAAGCGTCTAGTGGAAATGCAAGGACAACGACTTCATCGGAATCGGAGAGTGCTGCGCAGTCTGAGGACAGCTATACTGAGGTAGTCGATTTCTGAGGAGATGAATATCTGTTTCCATTAATTATTGTTCTAAGGTGAGTTGCAAAGACAGTTGTGGAGGAGATTCAAGACAGAAGCAGTCAGTACATATTGTCGTGTGTGAAATTCTTGTGTGTCCACAAACCTTGTATAAGATCGTATCAGTGTTCTGTTATGCTACGATAGGACAGAAGAAATTCATGAGATATTAAGTGGCCCAACGATCTTTTGAGTATTTTGACCGGCAATGATGCAACAACAGCAGCAGTCATCTGATATAAACACACGGCCAACAAGCTCGTTAGATCCGGATATGCACACCATCAGTCGGAGAACAACTACATTTGGTTTTGTTGAACAGATTGATTGCAATAGGCTGAACTCAGTTGCTCAAAGAAATTCACTTGTTTCGTTTAAAGGTAAACGATGAGATTGTACGTAAGGCGCTGGAATCGGGAATGGATCTGCGAGAATATTCGGCAAAATTGGAGGAACAATTGAAAAATGCACAGAAATCCGCAGTTGGCGATTGTATTGAACAGGCAGATAAACTGGCCGAACTTCATATTGAGTTGACAGCGTGCGATGATGCTTTTGCGGTATGGTCTTGTTGTTTCTGATGTGTTTTTTGCATACTGTCAAATATCACCAACAAATTAGATAACAGTTGAATATCGTTTAGTGTGTTCTCGTAGCAAATGTATTGAATTTTTTACAAAACAGCCCCAAATTAGTGTTTTTTTTTTCATTGTTTTTTGATGAAATGACGAAATTTCACGTATTGTAGCGATTAGAAGATATGTTAATGGGTTTTCAATCGGAACTGGGGACGATCAGTTCTGATATGAAACGCCTGCAACAGCAATCGTTAGAGATCAATCAACAGCTGAATAACCGTCAAAAAGTTCGTGGTGAATTGAGTCAATTCGTTGACGATATCGTCGTACCACAAAATATGATTCAGTAAGTATTTGGATGCGATGTTATCATACGATTCNGTAGAACGTGACGTTGGTGAACGTGAATTTTTAGAGCAGCTACACGAATTACAGCATAAGCTGCAGTTCATCAAAGCACAAGAATTCAAAGAAGCCAAAGCGGTGGCTGACGTACAGGACGTTATTGAAAATCTGAAATATAAAGTTGGTCATTATGCGTTTGCTGTGCATTTTATGAAAATTCAGTTTAACCTTTATCCAATTGAATTTAATTTATATTAATCGCTCGTTTTATTTCGTTGTGTTAACGTTGTTGTCGTTGTGGTTGTTCTCCTGATAGGATTCTGCTTGAAGTTTGACATTTTCCTTGATTGCAGGCTATGGCCAAAGTTCGTAATTGGTTACTGATGAAGATATCGTCGTTTAAGAAGCCGTTAACAAATTATCAAATTCCACAAGGAGCACTTCTGAAGAATAGGTGCGATTTTCTTCTTCTCCATCTCATAATTTAGATTTAGTTTAATGCTATCAAAATAGGGATGATCTAGTATATTATTGGTGTTGTTTTATTGCTGCATTCGATTCCAGGTTCTTTTACGAATTCCTTCTGGCGAACGATCGACAAGTGGCTCGTGAAGTTGGTTGTTGTGCGATTTTTGTTGTTTCTCTTTTCTCTTAGTTTAGTTCCGATGATGAATGGTGACTGCTGACGTTTATCTCTCCTTATTCATAGTTTTAATGGTGATGTTATCAATGGATCTCTCAATGAGCAATTGTTTAACAGTGTAGTATTTGTATGAGATTTTTTGCAATAGTTTGTGCCTGCATTCACAGTCGGATTATTTTCTGATCAATTATGGATTGCTATGAAATGGCCTAGTAATGAGTTCTAAATTGAT